TACATAATAGACAAAACTCAGGTGGAGTGTTTACTTAATCAATACATCAGAGGTTTTCAGTCAATAAGACACAACATAATTGACAAAAATAAATTTCTGATTCAATTTTTGAACCCCTAAATATTTTAAAAAACTAAGATTTTTAAGCAGATAAAATAAATCAGATATAATTATTTGTAGAAATAAAGATACCACTGCCAGTCAGTGGTGGCAAGTGCCTTTAATCCCAGGACTGAGGAGGCAGAAGTAGGCAGATCTCTGGATTCAAGGCCAGTCTGATCTACAAAGTGGGTTCTTAGACAGTCAGGGCTAAAGATTAGAAAAGCAAAACAGCCAAGCCACTAGAGAGCTCTTATCTCTATGAAATATTCAGACTGAAAGAGAGTGAGTTCCTATCTCATCCTGCCTTATATTCCTCTCTAGTGCTGGGATTAAAAGTATGCACCACCAACAGCAAGCTTCTATGGCTAACTAGTGTGGCAACTGGGACTAAAGGTGTGTGCCACCACTGCATGCCTCTATAGCCGACTAGTGTGGCTGTTTAGAGTTCTAATCTTCAGGCAAAATTTATTTATTAAAATACAAATGAAATATCACGACTTTTCCCCATTTTTGTCTAAAATACAAAAGACTATAACTAATGTAAGAAAAACTATATATAGTAAGTACAATAACTATATACAATATATACAGGCAATAAATACATCAATACTATCTAGTCCATTTGCATTTGACAAATTTAGAGAAAATACTCCATTATCTATCCTATCTTGGTGAGTTCAAAGTCATGTACCTAATTTACTTTCTAACATAACTGCTTTCTACTTCAGGTAAACAGGGAAAACTATAACTTTCTAGTCTTCAACTCTTTTAGAGACCCAAGAATGAAATAATATTAATGGAGTAAGCAGGAAGTGCAAGCAAACGACTTTCAAAAAAAATGTGAGAAATGACAGAAACAGCTATCTCTCTGGACAGTCACCCATGGTTCCTCTGCAACATTAGGGCAGCATTAGGGCATACATCTTCGGCCTACAGGCCTAGCATATCTGACAGACATTTCTGTGAGGCGAGATATTCAGAAGGACTGTCCCTCTTTGTCTTGACAATGTTTGGCAGTCACTTTCTTTTGTGTCTTGCTTGTCCAATTAGGATAGTATATTGTCAGCAGTCGAGACAGGGGCATTTTCTTGCCCAGTGGCTTATTTTGCTACAAGAAAAGTAAATACTATGTGAAGTTTCTTCGATGACCACTTTCTTCTCTGGAATAGATTGGTGCTGCCAGTAGCAGACATGCCTTACTGTCCAAAAAGAAGAAAAAAAAAAAAAAACCTATGCTATGCTATTAAAATATCTTAATAAATGGTGTATTCTGTAGAAAATAACACATCTAAACATTTCTTTGTTTGACCTTGAAAACCTACCTAATGTGAGAAGTCTAATTATAATAAGTTATTAACAACTAATCTGCATTTCCTTATTATCCTAAACAGTAAGTAATAAAACTTTCAAGGACTAGAAATTTGTATTGCATTGTTAAATGGCTTGGCTTGTATAGTACAATACCTTGAACAAGAATAGAAATGTATGTACAATATACGCTAAAAAAAAATTAACCTCAAATTTGAATCAATATATAAAATTTGTATATAATATAGAAAAGTCCAATCCAATGTGAAACGTTGAAAACTAGTAGTTGCTTTTAAAAAGTAAGACTCAAAAATCTACCTTTTTATCTTATCATATCTATATCCTCCCTTTTTTCTTTTCAGAGTAATTCAATAAGCTACCCTTTGATCTTATCATATGTATATTCCCTACCTTAAAAACAAGAACCTTTAATCTAATATCCCTTGTTTAGCTTTTTTTCTGACCAGAGCCAGTAACAACTTGGCCAATAATAACCAATCCGCTGAACAATGACAAATATCCATAATCCACCGAATAACAAAATAACCACACTCCCCACCTCTTGGGAATGTGGGCATCCTATTCTTAAATTTACATCCTACTGTCTGGGGATGATGGTATCTTTATGGGATATTAAAAAGAAAAATTGGGGCTAATTGTCAAGTACTGGGAAAGGTAGCTGTATCATTTGTTGTCCAGTCTCTGCATAATGGGAAAGTGCAGGGTTTGTCTCAAGTCCTGGTTAGAGTTGTCTGTTAGGCTGTATATCACATCAGCTTGTAACCTCAAAATTATTCTGAGCAATTTGTAGTTCAATGCTGATATTTAGGTGATAAGCTTAGTTGTGTTATCATATTCTGGGAGGAATCGTTATTGTGGGGTCCCATCCTCCTTATGGAGACTTCAAAGGCATTCTCATGGTTGACTGCAGAAAACTGATAGAGACTCAAGACAGTTTCTGTTGTTGCCCCTTTGGACTGAGGACCAAACCCAAGATTTTGTGCCTACCCACTGGCTTATGCCCCAACCTCAGGCCTAAATGCTTAATCATGAAAAAAAATCTGTTTCCCAAGTCTTTTACCTTTTAGAAAAGTAGCATAAATCTGAAAAAGGATTTCTTGTCAAAAAGGCAAGAATACATATTTATTTGTATACTCCACAAAGCTTCTGAGTTCTTCGGTATTTGTTCAAAGTGTTTTCATGAACTCCTGAGATTTACTCTAAAATGAAATCCAAGGGCAAATTTCACTGAATAATAATAATATTTATTATTATTATTTTGTTTTCTTCAATTTGAAGATTTTTCAGAGATATTTTAATACAGTTTCTTTCTCTAAAAAGTTTTATATTTTGTTCTATAAATATATATACACTAGCCAGATGTGGGTGGCACACACATCTAATCCAGCACTGGGGAGGTAGAGGCAGAGGCAGGTGGATCTCTGTTAGCTTGAGGCCAACCTGGTCTACAAAACAAGTTCCAGGACAGTCAGGTATATTACAGAGAGAAACTCTGTCTTGAAAAAACAAAAAAAAAAAAGGCCATTTTAACTCACCAGCCAAGAAAATCCACAGGAAGTTACAGAGCACTTCAGACTCAATGACCTCAGGTTCACTATGAATCCCGTGGGCATTCAATCATTCTATGACTATGATGAATTCTCCATTATTTTATAATGCTTGCTTTAGGATGTAAACCATATGGGATACTATTATACCATCTAATTTTCAATAACTTTATAAGGCAATTCTAAATTTTTAATATAATCTCCAAGTATATTTTAAACCAAGGTTTTCTTACTAACCCTTGTTTCTACACTAGCTTCAAACAACTGAAGTTAGCTTCTCTGAGTTTCTTCCAATTATAACACCAGGGGTTCCTAAGCAAATATAAGGTTTACAAGTCTTAGTAAGTGACATTCTGTTCATCTGGTAGGTTCTTTTTCCTATCCCTTGAAAACTATAAGTGATTCATTTTCTAATATGCAGTAGTTCCTCTAAAACTCAGCCCACTGGGACTGGGCACACAGCTCAGGCAATGAGTCTCTGGGTTTGAGCTCTGGTAACATAAAGGGAGGGGGGAAAAAGCTGAGTCACTTAAATAAAGATACTTCATTTTTTTCACATGTCATATTTTTTAAAACCAATAATATTGATGGAAGAATGAGAGAAATGATGAACTAGTGAAAAGAAACCCTACTTGAAAATGATTAGATATTTTTCTGACGATCAAAACAACAAAAAAAAATCTACAGATGAACAAAGGTATTCAGAAGACATTCCAAGAAAGAGAAAAGAAGATCTTCCATCTCTTTTCCTAGGCCCTTGTTATACACAAGCTAACCTCAGCCTCACCACCATAAAGACTGCCAGCATCCTGTGAAAAACAGAAAGGTGTGTGACACAGCTTGTAATCCTAGCTCCTAGGACGCACGAACAGGCAAATCACTGGGCTCAGAGGTCAGTCAGCCTAACCTACTCCATGATACTTCAGGCCAATGAAAGACCCTAACTCCAAGTAAAAGAAAGCAGGATGGTACGACACTCAAGGCTGTGCACACTCATGCACGCACACACAAAAACAGAAATCTAGATCCCAATATTGTCTCCCAACAAAAGACATATGACTGAGAGTTGGCACAAAATAAATCAACAGATTGTGACCTGGGCACAGGAGTCATGTCTGCATCCAAGCACTCAGGAGACAAACTAAAGACTGTAAGTCCAAGATCAGCTTGATCTACATAGGGAGCTCCCTGCCTGCCAGGGCTGCACAGTGAGTCCATCTCAAAAAAGAAAATGAAATAATGAAAGTATGCACCTATAAGAAGATGTACAAATAAGCTTTTTCTTTTAGTAGTGACTTATTTTCAGCCTATCTTGGTATGGTTATGGCTAGTTAGCAAGGAAAGACATTGCATTCATCATCGAGGTTACATGTGAAAGAAAAATCTTAACATAAATGGAACAGTAAAGACAGTAAACAGAAAATCTAAGACTGTAAACTCTCTGTCTTTTTACATAAAGCAGCAGTTTCCTAATGAAGAAGCTATTTTTAATTAAATGTCTAGACAACAACAACAGGAAGGTTAACACCACAGAACAAAGGCAGGGCTACAGACATCGGCGGAAAGTTACTTCCACCAGTCGGGGAAAACAGAAACAGGATAACACAGCTGGAAATCTTACAAAGCCGTACCAATATTCACCTTACTCACTGATTTCATAATTCACACTTAATAATAAAAAATGAAAAAGGTACTTGTTAAAGCTGACTAAATATAATTGCTTAAAATACATGTAAAGTCGTACTTTTATTATGTAAAGGTATATTCAAAGACAGTCATTTATTAAGAATAGAATCAGAAATAAAATCAAAATTATAACTATTTTGAGCAAAGGCAAAAAGCACTGTTTTCTATTGCCTCTGCCCAGACAGAATGTTAGTCAGAAGGCCATACAAAATAGAAAACAGTATCTTCCTATAATGCTGCATATTCCCAAATATGCAAAATGAAAAACTTCTCATGAGTTCAAGATTTTAATACAAATACATGCACTTCCTTTACCATCTTCAGGGAGGAATTTACCGTTTTGTGCCCATTCTGGCAGGCTACATGTAGTGCTGTCTGCCCCATTGCATCCTCAACGTCCACGTCACTGACATGTTGCACAAGGTCATGGAGGAGTTCTGTCCGCCCATTCACAGCCAGCCATTGTATCTGCGAAGCCATTTCATTATTAGCATTTGTGCAGTGGAGTGTCCGTAAAAGTCAGTACATACGAAATACTATTTCTCTGTTGAGCACAATATTCAAAGAACACTGTAAAAAATTTTTCTCCTGCTTTTAAATGAGAAAAACAAATGCATCAAGACATTAGCTATACCATGAAGTACTACAAACTCAAGAACTGAAGGATTCAAAAAAGTATCCTCGGCTTAGATCACCAAATACTCTGCTTCTTGGATGACACTAGCCTCTCAACACAGCTGCTGCTAGAGAAAACAGGTTAGTATTCTTTCTTTTCCAGAAGCAAATGGATAATCAAATAAAACATACTTCCTGTAGTTATGAACAGCAAATATATCCTATACTACTAATAATAAATACATAAGAATAATTGTTTAAAAGAACTATAAAATACCTATAATACCACTAAAAGACAATGTTAAATTTCCAATTAGGACGAATGGAGGAAGCTAGGGATCAAACCTGTAACTGCAGCACCAGTAGGAGGGGGCAGAAGATCAGGAAATCAAAACCAGCCTTAGCCACACAGTAAATTACAAGAAACCCAGTGTCAGGAACATGTCTTTAACCACAGCACTAGGAAAGGAGAGGCTAACAAATCTCTGAGTTCCAGGCCAGCATGGTCTACACAGTGATTTCCAAGACAGCCCTGATTTCCAGAGAAACTTTGTCTCAAAAGAGGAAAGAAAGAAATCCTGTCTCATAAAGAATTGTTCCCATTTGTGTTTGCTGCTGCTGTAATAAAATGATGGCCTAAACCAACTTGCAGTGGAAGGGGTTATTTGGCTTACAGCTCCACATCACAGTCCACCACTGAAGGAAGTCAGAACAGGAACCCAAGCAGAAACCTGGAGGCAGGAACTCATCCCAGACCATTGATGAATATTGCTTACTGGCGTGCTTCCCTGGCTTGCTCATCTACCTTTCTATACAGCCCAGCCCTACCTACTCAGGGACAGTACCATCCACAGTGGGCTGAGCCCTCCACATCAATCACTAATCAAAAAAATGCTGGACCTCATCAATACACAAAGAAACAAAGGCAACTAAGGAAAACTGGAAGCAGCAGAGGTGGTCTTCCCCAGAGAAGAGCACAGAAATAAGCCGTCCAATGCCAAATAACCAGCCCTAAAACATGCACACAAGTAACACTCCAGGGACTGAGTGTGTGCGTGTGTGTATATGCGTGTGCATGTATGTGTGTATATTCTTTAGACACTGTACTCATATATACACATAATTATTTTATTTTAATCTTTTCAGAAAAAAAGAAGAAACAAAATGTCTCCTCTGGCATGCCCACAGTCCAGTCTGATGGAGGCAAATCCTTTTTTTGATGGAGGGTCTTTCTTGCCAGGTGATTAGGATTTGTGTCAAGTTGACAGAAATTAACAATACGGTTCATATGTTCATATTAAACTCCTGCTTGCATATATATATATATGCTCCAAGTTCAATACTCAGAACTAAATCAAGGTGGGAAGCAGACAATTTCAGACTGGGTGTTTTATACAGTTTTCACTTGACTTTTTTCCATTACAAACATTAGGACACACTTCCCTGTCTTCAAAGTGCAAACTGATTACATATCTATCAGCTTTAACACAACTGTACTAAAATAGCAGTAAAAGAGCAGTTTTGAAGAAACCTGCCCATCAAGACAAGGGAGAAACACAAGTTTTGGAAGCTAGAGAGCATGTATTACATTTTATCTTGTCAATAATAATTACTGTCATGTCAGAACAACAACAACAAAAAAAAAACGAATCCTAAGTAAGAGCAAAAGCTAAGTAAGAAGGCATGTGAGGGGACTGGAGAGGTAGCTCAGTGGTTAAATCACATAATATTTCTGCAGAGCAACTGAGTCCAGTTCTGAGCACCCACATGGTAGCTCACAAGCACTGAAAATCCAGTTCCAATGGATCTAATGCCTTTTTCTAATGCCCTTCTCCAGAAGGGACCAGACATACTAGCAGATAGAGCATTAATACAGATACAATAAAAATAAAGAGACAAGAGAACTCCTAAAAGGCTCCAGAATTGGTTAGTTAAGCAGCATGGGCCTCCTGAGGTATAAGACAGAACATACTTCACATCACAAACACATCAGCTGAAAATATGTCCAAGACAACTTTGGACTCTCAGATCCCTACCACTTACCAACCTGACAAGGACAGAAAAAGCTCCTCACTTGCTGTGACAGCTCCAGACCATGCGTTTTGTCCCAAAACCAAGAGAAAAAGACAGGTGTGGTGGTAGACATTTGTGAACCCAGCACTCCTATGGGAGTCAGAGACGGAAAATCTGGAAGCTCACAAAGCAGCAGAAAAAAGAAAGGCCCTCTCCGCGGACCAGGATCTATCCCTAGTAGAAGAACTAGCTTTTTGAAGCCTATTTCCTTGCTCAGCCTAGACACAGGAGGGCCTTGTTCCTGCCTCAAAGTGGTGATGGGACAGACTTTTCATTGACTCCCCATTTGAGGCCATACCCTCTCTAAGGAGCAGATGGGGTGGGGTGATGAAAAGGTGGGGGTAATGGGATGAGGGAAGGGAAGGAGAACTGGGATTGATATGTGAAACTAAAAAGTAAAATTTAAAAAAAAAAAGAAAGAAATCAAAGGCCTAATGAGTAAGTTTAATGTAATATCAATCATATTCAAGTACTTCTGTAGGCACAAACCAAAACAACTAATGCAATCTTCATACACACACGCACACACACATACGGAAGAATTACTCTTCTAATATTAAGACTTACTACATAAAGTAATAATAATAACATACCTACATTAATAAAAAATCAAAGCTGTGTGGTACAGGCAGAGAAGCACAGGCATTGAAGAAAGAATAATAATAATAATAATAATAATAAGAAGAAGAAGAAGAAGAAGAAGAAGAAGAAGAAGAAGAAGAAGAAGAAGAAGAAGAAGAAGAAGAAGAAGAAGAAGAAGAAGAAGAAGAAGAAGAAGAAGAAGAAGAAGAAGAATCCTACAATAATAAGAATCAAGGCTGTGTGGTATGGGCAGAGAAGCATATGCATATATCAACACAACTAGTACATAGCCTAGAAAGGACTACACAAATATACCCAGATGAATTTCTAAGGAAGATGCAAAATCAATTTCATGAAGAAATAAATGCATACAGTGTTTGTCTGTCTGTCTGTTTGCTTGTGAGACAGGATTTCTCTGTGCAGTCCTGACCCCGCCTCACCCAGTAAACCATGCTGGCCTTGAACTCAAAGATAAGACTCCCACTCTCCCTCTGGAGTGCAGAATTAAAGGTGTGTGTCACCACACCCAGCTATAAATACATAGATGAATTATGGATAGACTATAACCATTCAACAACCAGTACTACTGGAACAGAACATTCACTCACAGACAAAAATATTGATGCTCAACCCAAGCTTCATAATTCTTAAAAATATTAAATGAAGCTTCAGATGTAGAAAAAGTACAACTATTAATACTTTCAAGGAGAAAAAATCCTTCAATATTTAGGGCTAGGCAAAGAGTTTCTAAAATTGCTATCAAAAGCATGATGTACAAATTGAAAAACCTGTTGAAATTAAAATCCTTTACTCCTCCTGTGACCCAGTGTAATGTCACACGCCTGTCACTCAGTACCTGGGAGGCTGAAGCAACAATATGCTGAGTTTTAGGGCAGTCTGAACTACATAATCAGGCTGTCTCTAAAAGAACCCTGTGAAGTATTTGGAAGGACAAACTAAAAATTTAGAAAATACTTGCAAATGACATATCTAATGAAGCACTACTCTCAGGGCTGGAGAGATGGCAAGGATACAACCTCTATAGCCACAATTAGATAGTATGCTTCTTAAAAGCAAGCATGAAACCCAGTATCTTCATTCCTAGGCATTTATCCTAAGGAAATACAACCTATACATTATCATATGTTTCTGTCAGCTTTACTGATAATATCCAAAAACCCAAAGGACTCCAGTGTCTTCTAACAGGTAAGGAGGTCAAAGGGCAGCATAGACACCATGCAATTCTATCCAGCATTATAAAGAAACAAACTTTTGACAGACACAACAGCCAAATGGATATCCAGGTAATAAACCCAAAATGAGCCAAGCCTGAAAGCGTCAATACAGTAGGAACTGTTAATGAACATCCTTGGAACGGCAGAATGTGGAAACGAGGCATGATGAATGGTTGCCAAAGGCTGAGCATGGTGAGAGAAGGAGATGGAAAAGGAGGGTGAGGAAAGAGTAACACACAAATATTTATGGTACTATAAATCTTGAAACTATGACTGTGGTAATAATCACGTGAGCACACAGGCCATAGTACCACACAGAACCAGTTCATATGAACACATGCAAATGAAACTGGAGAAGCCTCAGTCAGATGGACTGAATCAGCATCCTCGTCACAGGACCATATTATAGTTTTATAAAATGTCCAGGAAAACTGGTGGAAATGTGACAGGATCTCTAGGAACCTGCAGTCTACAATTACCTCAGTGTTTTAAAGGTAACTATCAACCATAGAGCAAAATGCTAAGCAAGGGAAAAAAGTAACTACAGTAAATTCTTAGCACAGATATGCATTGTGCTAAATATGCACTAAAATTACACTGACTGTATTGGAAGGACATGAAAAATGTGCTTATAAATGAAGAAATGAATGGGAAAATGGAAAAATAGATTTATCTCCAAATGTTAAGTAGTGATGTCTAAAACCAAAATGATCACTACCATGCATTGTTCAAATATAGAGACACATACACAGCTTCCAAATCTACTGAAAGAGAAAAGAATTTCCTAAGGAAATAGAAAGCTTAGACTGGGAATTTAAAGGAGAAAAGGCCAAGGGGCCTTCCTTATGAGAAGCCTTGCAAAAAATCATTTTAGGTAAATGCATCACTATTTTTTTAAATAAAAGACTTTAAAATTTTTCTATTCTATCTTCCTTAAAGTTCAAGAATGAAGAAAATTTTGCAGACACAAAATTATGCAATTAAAACATGATAGCTATCAACATTTTAGCTTGCCTCAAGTTACTGTCCTAAAGAAAGAAAGGTCTCTATGTCAGTTCTAAGGTATTATAACTTTATGGCACATATCCCATCTCTAAGCATTCTGAATTCTGAATGCAAGATTACCTTATGAGTGATGCTAATATAGACAAATATGGATTTTTCACAGGAATTACAGATTCTTTTCATGATCAGGCCCACTTTATACTAAGCCACTAACAGAATACTTCAAATCTCAGGGAAGCTTTCTTTTACGTCATACATTTAAAAAAAAAAAAAGATGTAATAAAAGCCAGGTATGATAGGACACACTTGAAATCCCAGCACACAGGAGCTGAAACACATTCTGCTATGTCTTCACTACAGTGATCACATTATTTTATCTCTACTTCAAAAATAAATACTACTCAAATAAATTATAATCACTTGATTAAAATTGTGTGATTTTTAATAATCCCTTCAGCAGTGCCATTTCCCAGTATGTAAATCAAAAGTATACTAACTTATTTTTGCATGGAAAATGATAACAGCAAAATGGATTTTGAAAACTATTGGTTTAAATACAATAAAGCAAACTTGAAAGGATATGGATGCTAATAGTGGTTATCTGTGTACAGAGTATATAGACTGAACTCTCATTCCCTTTGTTACCTAAAGCCATAATGGAAAATAGCTCTTGTATAATGAATTGGCAAAAATACTTTGTTTGTTTTTTTGTTTGTTTGCTTTGTTTTTGGATTCTTGAAACAGCATTTCTCTATGTTATCCTGGCTATCCTGGAACTCACTACGTAGACCAGATTGGCCTCAAACTCGAAATCACAGAGCTCCAACTGCTTCTGCCTCCCAAGTGCTGGAATTAAGGGTGTGTGAGACCATGCCCAGCCCAGCTGGTAATACACTTCAAAAGAAAATCTCCCCTAAAAGTCCGTGACAAAAACTACAGGAATAAGGCTTCCAAGTGAATGAAAGTTATAAATCTAAAGACAAGATGAACATGGTAAATACTACCTTTCTTAATAAACTCACTGGATACGTCACAAGAACTTTACAGAAGTAACTTGTACAAACACTTGTACTATAATTTGCACTAACAGCACATTCACCATTATTTTCCAGAGTATTTTTTTTAAATCTCAGATGAAACTGATACCACGTACTGCTGTAAGGCCTTCATTATTACAAATGTTGACATCCGCACTGTACTCCAGTAATTTACTCATGCATTTCTTCTGTCTGGAAAAAAAAAAAAAAAGACAGTAATGGATAACTAAGACGGGAAACATACAAATGACATGACAGTTATGTATTAGATTACAACTACCAGTATTAGATGATATCTCCAGCCACAACTTTACTATAGCTCCAATATGTGTGAATACTACTTTAAAATAAAAGAGAAAGCTGTTTCTATGACCCAAATGACAGATTAAAGAAAAACTACAATCCATTTTTCATTTCACTTGGACAAATTATCACCCAAACTTCTGAGGAATTTCTAGTCTCGACTAAATAAAAGAAATTATTAGAAATGTCTAGTTTTGGCTAACCAAATGGAATAACAATCTTCATTTGAAATATAAGAAGATACACAATGGACCAGGAAAAATACTATACTGTTGTATCCCTACTTTCGTGATTATAAATGTTTAAAATACTAAAACAGATTGTAAACAAAAAAAAAAAAAAAACAGGCTGGATATATAACATGGTGGTGAAGGATTTGCTTAGCATGTTTGAAACCCTGGGTTTGATCCCCAGTAAGATGAAAAAACATCATTGGAGGACTGGTAAAACACATATATATGTACCCCCTCTCTGCCCACAATTTTTAAAAATTATGTTATGTGGTAAATATATCTAACATACAATTTATCATCTTAACCATTTTTGTTTGATGAATTGACTGATTCTTTGAGACAGGGTCTCAATACACAGCCCTTGCTGGATGGCCTAGAATTCACTCTGTAGCCAGTCTGGTCTCCAACTCAGAGATCTGCTGCCTCTACCTCCTAAGTACTAAGACTAAAGGCATGCCCAGCTCATCTTAACAATTCTTAAGGATACAGATCTATATGGTATTTTAATTATCATAATGTCTTCTAAGATTGAAACCTATTCTGTTATCTGTATATACTAAACTTTTCTCATCCACTCATCAGTTGACAGGCACTTGGCTACTCCACATCTGACCATTATACACAATGTTGATATACATATAATGACAAAAATTTTTTGGACTTTGTTTTTGATTGAGTATTTCTGGACATGAAAAGGCTGGATCATACAGTTATTCTATTTTTAAATTTCAGAGGCTCTATCACATTGTTCTTCACAGCAGCTTTACCTAATCTTACATTGTCACCTACATGGACTCCAATTTCTCCACAGCCTGGCCAACGTCTTGTTTCACCATTTTATAGTGGAGATGGTACAATGTTTTACTTTATGGTGTGTTTTTTGACAGTCATCATTTTATAGTGGAGCTGGTACAATGTTTTTGCTTTATGGTATGTTTTTTGATAGTCACCATTTTATAGTGGAGATGGTAACTCATTAGTTCTCCATTTCCCAACTACTGATGCTAAGCATCTTCTCATGTACTCAATGAACTTTGTGTGGCCTCGAATATGTGTCTATTCAAATAAGTCTTCTGTGCTTCTGAACTACCTACCCACTTCATTTTATAACTTAATCCAATCCTAGTTACTATCTAATATTTATCTTAAATTCATCTTCATTAATTAATACCTGCTAAGATTTTTATGAACCACATACTTTCTAAAGATTCATTTTCTACTGGTATCCCTCTGGCAATCTACTTAGGAGACAGACAGACAGATAACTAATATATATTCAGCACTGAATTGAGAAGCTATGATATAACCTGTGACATGAAGCTATTTATAATCTAATTGAATAAGTCATAATATAGTATATCACGTATGTATTATATGATGTATACAGTATTATCATACAGTACTATACCAAACACAATATATGGCATACAGAGTACATAACAGATTTACTCAACTAGTGCAACAACTTTTTGTGTCATGTTTAATCATGTTAGTGGTAACATAGCCAGTTATACAGAAAATCTTACTAAAACTTTATCAATTATTAATAAACATTCAACCTGAGAGTAAATAGCTAGCACAGTAAAACCACTTTTTTATTTTGATTTTTGCTCTTGAAACAAAGTTAAACATTATTTAAAAATCTGCATTATACTCAAAGAAATGGAAAATAAAGCTGTGAATAAATGTTGAAGTTTACATTTATTCTTACATACAAGTTTTATCTAAAACTTTGTTAATGAACATCTGAAAGTGCTACAGTGTCTTCTCTATATAACATTCCATATATAACATCTGCTGTGTGAAGGTGTCTTCCATATATAACAAGGAAGCTACTATCAACAATATGACTGCCTAAATAAGACCGCCGTAACACCAACACGAGCTGACATGACAATGTGCACGGGAAATTCCACAGTCTCACCCCAGATGAAGAGATACAGGTGGTCAATGCCTGCTGAGAGAGAACCAGTCTCCCAAAGAGATGAGTTCCCACAAAGACCACAAGTGGTCAGCACTGAACAAACATGCATACAGTAAAGCAAAATGAACTCAGTAAACCTACTGAGTTTGCTCACAAAACTTCCTTAGAGCCTGATCCAGGACTAGTTACTATTATATACATGTATGTATATATTACATATATATATATATTCATACATACAACAATAATAATTAAGAGATCGTGACTTTATTAAGGGAACAGGAGGAATTGGAGGGGAAAGAGAAGGGATAGGAATGTTGAAGATATAGTGTTCATGTACAAAATTCTCAAAATAATAAAATTGTTGTGGGATAATTTTTTTCACACACTATCAAGATGTGTCTCTGCCAAAGCACCTTCTGATTGGTTTAATAAAGAGCTAAACAGCCAATATCTAGCAAGAGAGGATAGGAGGGACTTCCCACCAAAGGTATGAACTCTGGGAAGGAATCAGTGGGGCGGAGACCCACCAGGGAGATGCAAAGGAAGTTGAATGTATACTATATTGAGGAGAGGTAACGATCCGTGTGAGAGAGCATAGATTAACATAAATGGGTCAATTTAAGTTATGCGAGCTAGTTGAGAACAAGCCTAAGCTAAGGTCAAGCTTTCATAATTAATAATAAGTTTCCATGCCATTATCTGGGAGCTGGTGTTCCAAAGAAAGTCCAACTACGGTTATTAAATTAAAAAAAAAATTCTGTTCCAAATGTACACTTATGACTATGTCCATCCAGATGGAGTTTTAAAACCAATTCAGAATCCAAAGCAGACCACTGGCACAGCTTCAAAACAAGCAGTCAGGTGGAAATGGGCCAGGGAAGCAGACCTGAGAAAGCACTTAAGGCAGGCTGGTTGAAGAAAAGTAACAACCTCTAATGTTCTCCCCTTCAAACACAAATCACAGAAGGTACAGGACAAGATGACAAAAATTTATTGTGCCTTTCTTATTTAATAACCACTATCACTACTTTCCAGTCTCTGTCAAAAAAAACAAACAACTGAGCAGCTCTTTTGCTAAGATTTACAGCTAAAATACTGATGCAAGTTTGCTCTTTATGAACTCATAATTTACCCTCCAAATACTCTTAAAATCGTGTTTCAAACCTGACTAATCTGTAACCTACAGATAAATGATAATTTCAAAGTCTTTCCTTTTAATATTTCATATAATGGGGAGTAGGCTGGATCTCCTACATAAAAAAACAACAATTTTCCTGCGCATATACTTCAACAATTACAGGAAGCTTCTAGTGATCTAATGACACAGAGCACTAAGACAGATTAATGGGACTTATTAGAAAGGAGATTTGGGCATGATGGCTCTCACCTACAGTCCTGCCACTTAGGAGGCTGATGCAAGAGAACTGCTGAAAATTCAAGCCAGCCTGAGCTCTACAAAAAGACCTTGTGTTTACATGGCAACACTAATGTGACAGGAGAAATACGAAAGCTAAAGCAGGCCAACAGGCATATATTATCCATTTCACAGCAACAGTTGACAAAGCAAAAGAAAGCAAAATAAACCAGCCAAAAAGACAAAATTCTTACATGATTTATACTTCAACATGGACAAATTTAACTGCAATTATAGTATAAAGCTATTTTTGAAAATGCAAGTGCCTCCAGAAGTACTGAATACTCGGTCATTTATCACCCACTTAGTAAGCACTTCCATATTAAACAAGGGAGCCATTCAATAAGAAATAAAAGTTAAGATATTTACTGAATGTCACGGTATTCTTGTTAGACATAGGGAGTCTGCACCTTCTCATCTTGCTGATTGCTAAGTGAATTATGTATTATCTGCCCTTCAAAATGTTAACTTTTTCAGTTACTATTGACAAGAATGATTAAAAGTACCTTGCATGTTCTACTTAAAAGGGCTTTATCTCAGAAGAACACCAAGACCACCCTGTCTTTCAAACCTGACATCTATTCCTTGATCCTCACACACTGTGTCTAAGAGAACTTTTTCATCCCTCCCATGTACCAAGCTCTCCTTTCCTTTGTAGCTATTGAAAAATATTCTAAGATATATGACCATTCAAAAAAGATCTCTGCCATTATCCTTCCAATATAACTAATGTATCTAAAAGGTGATAAATAATTTATGACTTTGGATTGACATATTACAATATATAGTTGTCTAATTGGTTCTTTGTTACCTATCAAAAAGTTACACAATCAGAGGGTGCTAGAGAGATGACTCAGAGGTTAAGAGCAATGGCTACTCATCAAAAGGTTGTGAGTTCAATTCCCAGCAACCACATGATGGCTCACAGCCATCTATAATGTGATCTGGTGCCTTTTTCTGGGCAGAACACTCTATACACAATAAAATTTTTAAAAAAAAAAAAGTGGTGCATAGAAATAATGTGCAAGCAAAAAAAAAAAACACCCATATAAAAAGGTACACAATCAAATGACGTGGAGCATACCAAATAGACTTTAGACCAAATACTATATCTTTTCCCTATCTGACCTTGATATAACTATGGTTCACATCATCTTGGTTCAATATACATAAACTTATATAAAAACCTTTGGCCTCAAGTTAATAAGATGGACAACTTTATCTCCATGGCCATTTCACATATGTAGCTATGTCAACTGTATGAAATTCCTGCTCAGAAAATAAAAATATCTGTAAGATTAATTAAAAGATATACAATAGGAAGTATACTGACAGAAAATTTACAATGTCTGAAAAAGATTTACAAATCTAAACTCATCAAGCAAGGAATGCTGGGGAACAATCTTTTTATACACTATGAATATGTATTACTCACATTTGTTAATAAAAAGCTGACAGGTCAGTAGCTGGGCAGGAAGTTAGGTGGGAAAGCCAAATTGAGAATGATGGGAAAAAGAAGGGTGGAGTCAGAGGAGATGCCAGCCAGCTGCTGAGCAAGCAGGACATACATACAGAAAATGAGGTAACAAGTCATGAGCCACATGACAAAGCAAAAATAGAAATATAGATTAATTTAAGCGTAAGAGTTACCTAGAAACAAGCCTAAGCTATCGGCTGAGCATTTGTAATTCATATTCTGTCCCTGAGAGGGTTATTTGGGACTGGGTGGTCAGGAAACATCCATTTACAAAGGCCTAGATAAAAAACTGCTTGTTTTCATTTTAAATTTTATTTCCATCATTTTAGTATCATTCTTTAATCCAACAGAATAATAATAAACAAATAAATACCAGTGTGTTCTAAATTGTTTTCTATTGCTGTGTTAAAATGCTGATCAGTTTTGGGATGAAATGGTTTATTTGAATTACATGTCTCAATCACTATCAATCACTGAGGGAAGTCCAAGCAGGAACTCTGAGCAGGAACTGAAACAGAGACTATGGAGGAGTGCTTCTTGTACAACCCAGGATCACCCCTGCCCAGCAGTGGCACTACCCGTGGTGGGGTGGATCCTCCTGCAGTAATCATTAATCAAAAAAATGTCACACAAGCTTGCCTACAGGCCAATCTGTTTGAAGCATTTTCTCAGTTGAAGTTCTCTTCTTTCCAAATGACTCTAGCTGTCAAGTTGACAAGGAACTAACCAGCACATGGGATAAAGGCAAAGAGACATAACACCTACTGAACTACATGGCAGAAAAAGACAAGAAAACATACGCATAGTAGGGCTTAAAATAGCATACAATTGCAATGATATTAATCAGTAATGATCAGAACATTATCAGGAAGAGGCCAACAAGGTGAGTCTTTAAGATTTCACATTTTGGAAATACTAGTAGTGTGTTAGTTCTCACAGCTGTGATGGTTAATTTCAGCTGTCAATTTGAAGAGGTCTAAAGTCAGCTGAGAAGCTGCTAGGCATGCTTTCAGGGATTATCTTGATTCATTAATTGCTGTGGAAACCCTGCACCATCTGCGACTGAAATCCTGCCTCCATGCCTATGGATGTGAGGTGAATAGATCCTTCCAGCTGCCACCTCCCTGACTTCCATACCATGATAAACTAAAACCCCAAGCTGCTGGGAGCAAAACAAACCCTTTCTCCCTTAAAGTGCTTTTGTCCAAGCACTTTATTAGGGCAACAAGAAAAGCAACTAAGACAACAGCTAAACAGGTAGGGACAGAGCTCAGCAGCTGGACAATCTTCAGCAGTGTCAGCAAGTAAATAAATATACTTTAGCATTGAAAACTACCCTTCACAAAAAGATTACTCTTAAACAATTCATTCTCCAACAACTATAAACTGCATAATATATTAATAATGTATTTCCACTAATAAAAATAACTAAATAGTTTTACAAATAAGCCAAGGAGAATGGAAAGATTAACAGGGAAAGAGACAAGAAAAACACCAAACAGACTGTCCATATAGCCAAGTAATAATAAATTTCCATTTAAAAGATAAAAACTATCAGAGGAAAATTCAATAAATTATTAAATTTTAAAGGGAAAAAGTAAATCCTTAAGAAACTAAAAATAAGGCTCGGTGGTGGTAGTGCACACCTTTAAACCCAGCAATAGGGAGGCAGAAGCAGGCAGATCCCTGTGAGTTCAAGGCCAGCTTGGTCTACAAGAGCTAGTTCCAGGACAGGCTCCAAAGCTACAGAGAAACACTGCCTTGAAAAACCAAAAAAGAAAGACAGAAGGAAAGAAAGAAAGACAGAAAGGAAGGAGGGAGGGAAGGAGGAAGGGAGGGAGGGAGGGAGGGAAAAACGAACCAATAGTTATAATCATTTCTGTAATTTTCTTCAAGACAAATGCAGGGAAGAAGAAAACCAAGAATGTGTTCCTTCTATTTTCATCAGGAGTGATGGTGCACCATTAGAAACAGGACGCTTACCCATTTCTAGCAGCCAGATGGAGGGGTGTACAGCCTGAAATATCTTGATAGTTAGGATTTGCTCCTTTCTTTAACAGAAGAACCAGGCATTCCACGGATCCACAGCTAAAATAATATTAAAAGACAGTTCAGATACATTCAACAAACAGCAGTTCTAGACAAAATTTAAAAACAAAATCAAACACATTTTTAAGGTCCCAATTCACTCATAACAAATATTATCCTCTACCTTCAAGATGTTACATTCTACTGTGAGTAAAAGTTCAAATAAAGAAAAACAAACCATTAGTTCTGAAAGAAACTATACAATAATGTTGACTTTCTGGGAGCTAGTTAATCATGAACAATTAGTTTCAAGGCTGCCACCTAAACCCTGAAAGGTCAGTCGGCACCAGGTCGTGGATAAAAACAATACTCCCATCCCGGTAAGAAGAATAAAACCACCTAGTCCACAGGCATCCACCACGCCCTTTTATCCCTTACAATGGTAAGGCAAAGGAAATGTTGGTGAATGCACTCTACACACATCTAGATAATCCCTATGCCTCACCTAAAATAAGTTATGATCACACAAACATGCGACATGAATTCCACATCACAGCTAACAATTTACAGAGAGAATACACAGCACGCCAAGAGCTAAAGAAGACAAAGCACCCTTGGCTGCCAGCTGCTGTTAGGACAGATTCACGGCTAACATCCCTCTCTAGACCAGAGTTAGTGACAAATATCACAGGCTTACTTTGCTGCAATATGGAGCAAGCTTCTCTTCACACGTCCAAACGCATAATTGACATCAAATTTTGAATTTGACAGGAGTTCAGAAACGGACCTATATCCCCCAGAAATGATAAAAAGAGGAGCTGATATGTAAATAATAAAAAAACATATTAAAACGAGTTAAGAGCTCTTTGCCAACAGTTGTTAATTCCAACAGTTCTCTAGGCGCAGAATGAGAATTAACACGACAAATGAAAGCCTGAGAGCACCAACCAAAAACAGCTGCACACTTACCTGTGCTGATCAGCCATAACCATTGGCATTAATGTGTAAACAGCAGTTTCATTATCTGAGTAAAAAAAATAAACAGAAAAAGAATTAAAGCTATCTCCTACTTTTGCAACAAATGACACAAATGATTACAGTTTTCCCAGCTGCATGTAAACAGAAAAGGTCGGAGAAAGCAAGACCAGTGGAGAAGCAAAGCCACTACAGCTTTCATGCCACAGAATTCCCCTCTCTCTTGTGTCTGTGCCTTCCACACTGTCCAAGAAAAACTTAGCTTGCCCACAGTCTAAAGAGTAAACCAGATCTAGTATCTCCTGGAACCTGAGCAAGTGACATTGTATTTCCAATGAGTTTTTTTTTTCAACATGTTTTACTGTAAGTAGGCATAGTCTGGGAAATCTTTAAGAAATTTAGGACATTTTAGCGCTCCAATTTTAAATGCTAGGGTATTAAGAGATATATATGTGCTAAAAATAATTTTTAAATGTTAAATGTATGTCAGATATGGTGTCTCTACCCATCATCACAGCACACAGAGAGCTCCAGGCCAGCCTGGGCTACAGAGTGAAGCCTTTTCTCTCAAAAAAAAAAAAAAAAAAAAAAGCCAAAAGAGGGGGAAAGAAGATTTGAAGAGACAGGAGTAGGGAGGCAGAAGAACAAATGAGGGATGACAATAAAAGGAGGAATGCTGGGAAAGACTCGCTTAAGCAGGAGAAAGGGCAGGAAGATGGGGGATAGGGGAGAGGAGGAGAGCCAACCAAAACCAAATACGTGTAAAAATGAAAAGAACTAAGGTAAAACCCAAACAAAGTGGAAAGGCGGCTCAGGGTTAAAGAACAGTGGCAGCTCTGGAAAAAAGCAGAGTTCAGATCCTGGAACCCACACCAGACAGCTCACAGCTACCTCTAATTAGCTCCAAGTGATCTGGCCTCTGCTTCTGTCCCTCAAGACCACTCAAACACACTTATGCACACAATCACACACTGACACAGATGCACAAAAATAAACAAAATCTTTACTCAGGAAGAAACCTTAAATATATACTTATTGAAGCTGAGCAGTGGTGGCACATACCCTTAATCCCAGCACTTGGGAGGCGGAGGCTGGCGGAGCCGTCAGTTCGAGGTTTATAGAGGGAGTTACAGGACAACCAGGGCTACACAGAGAAACACTGTCTCAAAAAAAAAAAAAAAAATTTTTTTTTTCAAAAAGAGTGTGTGTGTATATATACATGTCTGTGTGGGTGTGCTTATTGCTTTATATACTTAAGACATTCATATCTTTATAGACAAAAATGGGACCCAAAATTAAAAATCAGCATCTACAGGGCAGGGAAGATGGCTCAGTAGGCAAAAGCAGCCCCAACACCCACATAAAATAAAAGTGTGCCTGGAACCCTCAGCACTGTCAAACATACAGAGTTGCTGGGGCTTGCTGTCCAGTCTTGTCTCCACATCCAATGGGAGGCTCTATCTCACAGAAATAAGGTGGAACACAAGAGGAAGGCAGCCACTATCCTCCTCTGGACTCTGTGAACATGTCATACACGTATATACATACACCACACACACAGTCAGTTTCTGACATGCTATACTACATTTATCTTATTTTTCAGTTAGTGTTTTGAGCTTATTTTTATACATTACTAATGGTATCATATTAGAGATTTTACTTAGTCTTTAAAATACTGAGGCTTATACCAAAGTATCTTCCAAAATTACAATGGAAAGAGAATAAATTTATAATAACCCAGCAACTACCACTTTAATGGATTGGTAACATGAGGTATCATTAGAAATAACTGCTATGATCCAGAGGAGGGCATATTCCCCAAAATGGGCAACCTCAATCTGATCCCAAGAAGACATCTAACAAATGCAAGTGCTGCCACAAATGCATGACCAGTCCTCCTTAAAACTATGAAAAGAAGCCATAAAGAATGACCGAGCTGGGGAAGACTAAAGAATCCAAATAAATGTGGTGCAGTATCCTGGAGTACATGCTAAATCAGAGAACAATGGAGGGCAAGCTAACATTCTAGGGTAGAGTTCATACTAGTATTAGGAAAATAGTAATTTCTTAGATTTGACAACTTACTATAGTAGCCCAAGATGTTGATAGAAAAACTGGATTTTCTGTAAGCCTAATACAGCCAAAAATGATTTTTGTTTATGATACATTTTTTTCTTATTGTGATTAAAAATAAACACTCAACATTAGTCATTTTCAAGCATGGTTGTAACCACAGATTTTAAACTTTTTCTAGAAGTTTCTAGAGACATTAAGTCTTTTTGTCTGTTGAGACAGGGTTTCTCTACATAGCCCTGCCTGTCCTGCAACTCTCTATGTACAGCAGGCTAGCCCAAAACTCACAGAGATCCGTCAGCCTCTGCCTCCCAAGTGCTGGGACAAAAGGAATGCACAACAGCACCCACCCTGAGACACTGGATCTTGAGAGATGAACCAAACATGATGTGCTATGAATACTAGCTTCAACAAACCAACTTGAGCTGAGTGATGGCGGTGGTAGACTGCTTATACAGCGCGAGAAAGACCCTGTGAGCACTAGCACATATCCGTGAAAGACAGAAAGAATGAGCATGCACGGGCTATCTGAGAACAATTAAAAATAATAGAAAGACTGCTTAACTCTATTGATGCTAATAACAGCATTTTGACTGCATTTTAAAATTATGCATTTAGAAATATAGGACTGAATCATATATAGGGAATATAGAAATATACTACTATTCCATTATTTTACTATTTGTGAGTGTATACATGAAAACTAATTATTCATCAACATTCACAAGTTCAATATGCAGATATAATTCTCCCACTGTAAAAATAATACTTTAATAGCAAAAACATATTCTGTCTTTGGGGGGTATGGGTGAGACTGGGTCCCAACAGACTGGCCTTGAACTCTATATAGCCACAGGTGGCCTCCCGCCTCCACCAAAGGCAGCACTTTGAACCCCACATACAGGAGACCTTTTTTATCATGCTGTCTTATAAAGCAGACATTACAATCCCTGTTTACCCCTAAAATCCAGCCATGCAATGTTGGCATTAAATGACTAATTCCAGAGCCCCAAAAGTACGTATTCTATAAGAGTCAGTGTTCTGGCTACACAACACCCAGAAGGTCTACAATACAATTCCATTCTTAATATGTGCACTATATTCGAGTTATTTTATTCATTTCTTTAAAATGTAGATTGAGTCTCAGTCAACTAGTCTCACTAATTTCCTGCCAATTGTCATCAGAAGCTGAAAATAAGTCTCCACTGACATCATGGCATTCTTTCTACAGTATACAGTCTGTGCTTCTAAACCACAACAATTCCAATCAAGTAACTTCGTGACAGTCAGAAACAGGCAATACCTGGATTTGTAAATCTCAATGTTTTAATCATGAAAATACAAGCCTGGCATGGTGGCACATACCTGTAATCTCAGCATTTGGGAGGCTGAGTCAAGAGGATTGCCTTGAGTTTGAAGCTGACCTTTGAGTACCAGGCTGGTCAAGGCTTACACACTGACTCTATCTCAAGAAAACAAAATAAAACACACAACTTAAGTGCATCAAAAGGTTTGCATTAATGATATTCATAAATTTTTATTTATATTAAAATTTAGGTGCCGATCTTATATCTTAAGTCATATCCAACCTTAAAAAGATATAGATCATAGCCAGGCGTGATAGCTCACTCATTTAATCCCATTCAGCACTGAGGAGGCAGAAGCAGGTAGATCTCTGTTGAGTTTAATATAAATAAAATCTTAATATAATTAATGCAAACCTTCCAATGCTCACTAATAAGCTGAGGACTGAGATCCTTTCACAGCTCTTGCTTTGGTCAGAAGTCACAACGGGACTTCATTTGAGTGCTCCAGCAATGATCATAAAAAGAAAAGCAGTGTCGTTTTAAAGCTAGCAGTTCTCCTGACCATGGTTCAAATATATAGCTAAAATGCATTCAAAGTCTATCCTAGTGAACAAACTACCTTCACTGTAAAGCTGTGTAATCTAGTGCTCTCCACACAGAGCGCAATATACCCGAGCCTTCCAAAGTTCACTGTGCAGCCACATTGTTGACATAATTCTTTGCCTTCCTTCTTTTCCCCTCACAAAACTTTGTTAGTCCTGCATGGGATGACAACAATGTGCTCTCCATCACTTAGTAGTAATGTCAGGTACCTCTCAGTATCCAAGTCAGTAAATCAAGTTTCTATTTATTAGTGCTGTTCAACAAAGTTAATTTTAGGGTGAAAGCTGGTGAGAAAAAATCCGACTTTTACAACTTGTTCTAATTATAATTAGACACTTATGGACTGCTAAATTCTAACGTGAAAATAATCTGATTATTTCTTAAATTAAAAAAGATCTTAGCGCTTCTGTTCAGCTTTTTATTATCTGTGTTTGTGTGTATGTGTGTGCACATACATGTGTGTTCCAAAGCACACCACTGATTCATCTCACCCATCCCTGATTGGCCTTAAAACGCAACCACAATTTGTATATTTAGAATGCCCTGGGTCCACAGAAATCAGGGCTCACAGGGGCTCACAGAGACTGAGGCCACAAATGTGGACCCTGTATATACCTTAGTATTGTACAGCTTGGTGCTCTTGTGGGACTCCCAGCAGTGCGAGTGAGGCTGTCTCTGACTCTTCTCCTGCTACTGGGTCGCCCACCTTTAATGTTAGGGTTTGTGCAGTCTTACTGTATCTCATTAGGTCATGTTCAGTGGATAGCCCTGGGAGGCCTGCTTTTTTTTGTTGTTGTTGTTGTTTTGTTTTGTTTTTTGAAGGGAAACAGATGAAAAAAAATCTGGGAGGGGAGGTGGGAGAAGGTCTGAGAAGAATGGAGGGAGGTAAAACTACAGTCACGATGTAATGTATGAGACAAGAGTAAAAGTTATTTTTAAAAAATAACAGCCACAAATAATATAAAATATCTTGGGTTAATGCTAACCAAGCAAATGAAAGATCTGCATGATAAAAGCTTCAAGGCTTTGAAGAAAGAAATTGCAGAAGATATAAGAATACGGAAAGACCTCCCATGCTCATGGATCACTAGGACTAACAGCAAAATGGCCATCCTACCAAAAGCAATCTACAGATTCAACGCGATTCCCATCAAAATTCCAACACAGTTCTTTATAAATTAAGAAAGAACAATACTCAACTTCATATGGAAAAACAAAAAATCAAGGATAGCTAAAACAATCCTGTACAATAAAAGAACTCTGGAGGTATCACCGTCCCTGAGTTCAAGCTGTACTACAGTGCTATAGTAATAAAAACTGCATAACATTGGCATAAAAAGACTGGTTGGTCAATGGAATCAAATCGAAGACACAGACATAAGTCCACATACCTATGGACACCTGATTCTTGACAAAGAAACCAGAAGTAAAATATGGGAAAAAATAAAGCATCTTCAACAAATGGTGCTGATCTAACTGGATGTCAGCATGCAGAAGAGCATAAATATATCCATTAACTATCATCCTACATAAATATATCCATTAACTATCATCCTACATAAATATATCCATTAACTATCATCCTACATAAATATATCCATTAACTATCATCCTACATAAATATATCCATTAACTACCATCCTACATAAATATATCCTACATAAATATATCCATTAACTATCATCCTACATAAATATATCCATTAACTATCATCCTATATAAATATATCCTACATAAATATATCCATTAACTATCATCCTACATAAAACTCAAGTTCACATGGATAGAAGACCTCAACATAAATCCAGATACACTAAAACTGATAGAAGAGAAAGTGGGGAATAGCCTTGAACTCATTGGCACAGGAGACAACTTCCTAGACAGAATACCAATAGCACAGGCACTCAGATCAACAATCAATAAACTGAACTTCATGAAAATGAAAGTTCTGTAAGGCAAAGGATACCATCAACAGAACAAAACAGCAGTCTACAGAATGGAAAAAGATTTTCACCAACCCCACATCTAACGGAAGGCTAATATCCGAAATATATAAAGCACTCAAGAAACTAAACATCAAAAAAAAAAAAAACTTTAAAATGGCATACAGATCGAAACAGAGAATTCTCAACAGAGGAATCTCAAATGGCAGAGGAGCGTTTGAAGAAATGTTCAACATCCTTAGTCATCACAGAAATGCAAATCAAAACAATTCTGAGACTCCACCTGTCAGAATGGCTAAAATCAAAAACACAAGTGACAGTTCATGCTTGGGAGGATGTGGAGCAAGAAGAACACTCCTCCATTGCTCATGGGAGTGCAAACTTGTACAACCACTTTGAAAATGAGTATGTGGTTTCTCAGAAAATTGGGAATCGATCTACCTCAAGAGCCAGCTATACCACTCCTGGGCATGTACCCAAAGGATGCTCAAGAATACTTGCTCTACGCTCATAGCAGCTTTATTCATAATAACCAGAAGCTTCAAACAACCCAAATGTACCTCAACTGAACAATGTGGCACATTTACACAATGGAGTATTACTCAGCTGCTAGTAACAATGGCACCATGAAATCTGCCGGTGAATGGATGGAACAGGGAAAAATTATTCTGGACGAGGTAACCCAGACCCAGAAGGACAAACATGGCATATACACACTTGTAAATGGATATTAGCTGTAAAGTAAAGAACAATCATGCTACAATCCACAGACCCATGGAGGGTACAAGGAGGACACATGGATCTCCCTGGGAAAGGGAGACAGAAGAGATATTGGAGGTGGAGGGGGTTTGGGAGGGGAACAAGAACATGAGGGATCAGGCAGAGAGGGAACAGAGGGAGCGAGTACTAGGAGAGACAACTGGAATTGGTGGGGCATATCGGGGACAAGCTAGAAACCTAGAGTAATGGAAACTACAGGAATTTTTGAAGGTAACCGCTGCTAATGAAGGATATCCTAGCAATGAGAGACATGAAGCCTGAACTGGCCATCTCCTGTGACCAGGCAAGACTACCAGCGGAGGGATTCGGACACCCACCCAGCCACAGAACCTTCAACCTACAATTTATCTTGCCTACAAGTTGTGCTGGGGTAAAGGTGATGCAGAAATTATGGGCGTGGCCAACCAATAACTGGTCCAGCTGGAGACCCACGCCACAAGAGGGAACCCATGCTTGTCACTGCCAGAAGGGCCAGGTCCCAGAGGCTGGATGACCCAGAGACCTAGGATAGAACCAATAATACTAGAGGGAAAAAAAGTCAATGTAATGATGCCTAATGATATTCTCCTATACTCATACACTGGTGCCTCGCCCACTTATCATAAAAGGTTTTATCAAGCAACTGATGGAATCAGGTGCAGAGACCCACAGCCAAACATTAGGCAAAACTCAGGGAAAGGAGGAGGAAGTATTCTAGGGGCCAGAAGGGTAAAGGACATCAAAAGAAAACCCACAGACTCAATTAACCTGGGAACATAGGGGTTCACAGAGACTGAGCCAACAACCAGGGAGCCTGTATGGGACTGACCTAGGCCCTCTACGTATATGTTCAGTTGTGTAGCTTGTTCATCTTGTGGGACCCTAACAGTGGGAACAGGTGCTGTCTCTGGGACCCTTTTCCTCATACTGGATTGCCCAGGCCAGCCTTAATAGGAGGGGAGGTGCCTAGTCGTACTCAAACTTAATATGCCATGTTTGGTTGATATCCATGGGAGGCCTGCCCTTTCCTGAATAGAAATCTAGGAGGAGTGGATGGGAAGTGGGATTGTGGGGAGAGACTAGTTGGGATGCAACTACTGCAGTTGGGATGTAAATAATAATAATTGTTATTATAAATATTTTCTCAATTAAAAAAGTAGAATGCCCTAGATATGATCTACCTGAAGGGCCAAACTAAGAATTCAAAGACTCGTTCAAGACTGAAAGACAAATATAAAGGAACAAAGTGAACAATTTCATTGTCATCAAACAAAGATTTGTAATCAAAGAGAAGATGTAAGCAATAGGCCATTCTTACAACAAGGGGAAACACTTTATTTTTAATTGTGATATTCAAGTTTCCAAGCACTCAGACTCCTGACTAGAAGTTCTCAAAGAATAGGTTAAGAAATGGATAATTAAAGTCTTTAAAATGTTGATTATATATTAAGTCCTGCTCATCTTCTGGAATAAACGCTATGGAAGCAGAAGACTAAGTCTTAAATACAAAGCTGCTCCTCATATAATCAGCAAAAAAAATGCAAGTTTTATTTCATGCATCTACCAAATTCTTCCAAATTCAATAAACATATTTATGGGCACACATCTGTGACGTTTTCTAAATGCAAAACAAAATACTGTATGCAATATGTAAAGAAAAAGCTAACATTATTTACTACTGAGAGTGGAATGGCAGATTTTTCTTTATTTTTGTTATCAAACTTTTCTACAATGAAAATATAAAATGAATGAAATTTATACCCTGGCAATGCTGAAGCATGCATGGGCAGCCCGTATATGACGGTTATGTTGAACTTGTCCATATTGGGTTTCATGGTCTAAGTTGATGAGGACAAGGACGACTGATCAGGTCTCTTCCTCAAGAGGGCACCAGATCTAATTACAGAAGGTTGTGAGCCACCACGCAGGTGCTGGGAATAGAACTCAGGACCTTTGGAAGAGCAGGCAGTGCTCTTAATGGCTGAGCCATCTCTCCAGCTCCAATGAAAATATACTGACTTTTAAAACCAGAAAATATTATCAGAGCCTTCTGTACCATATTTACGCAAAATACTGGATGCAAGTTAGCGATACAAATAGCAATGTCAATAAACAGCACACACAAGCCTTCTTTAGCTGTCACCAACAGGATGACATCAGAAAATAAGGGAAGATAACTCTCAGTGAAAAGATTCACAGGTGGACGTAGAAGAAAAAGTGGAAGCTGAAGTTTACTTCCTAAAATTAGGACTAGTCTAAATCAATGCTTCATTCGAGCAAAGTAACAAATACAAAATTACTTTTGAGAAAGGGCTGCCAGGAACTTTATCTACTCAGAATCACAAAGAATAAAACTTTTCAAGAAAATTATCCTCAAATACGCCAACTCCACATTTCTTTCACTCTCCATAGCTAAGTGAAACAAAGTTTTAGGGGAAATGGAATAAAACAAACTAAGCAGGGAACGGTAGGCGAATGCCTGGAATTCCCAATACTTGGAAAGGCTGAGGCAGCAGGCTCCCAAGTTTGCAGTCAGCCTGGGCTACGAACATCTCCCACTACCCCTAAAACAGTCTGACTTCATAAGGCAGAAAAGAAAATAAAATTCCCCCACGCCTCCACCCAACCCCAACTCTTTTATTGGGAGTTTTCCAAAGCTAAAGTCCGGAACAGATCTTTTATTCCTCTGTGTGAATTCACCCCAGTTCTCACCCAGCCCACTCAACACGTACGTCTCCATGACTAAAAGATGAAGGCAGGGGTGTCTACCGAAGGAATGCCTACTACACCAACAGTGCTTCGGAAATACCTGACAGCCTTTGTCTATTGCCAAAACAAGAGCGACGCCCCGTATTTAAAAAAAAAAAAATTACTAGCCAGCCTATCTCATCTGCAGCTTAAGAAAACGCGGGCGCGTCCCCAGCCGCGCCCGCCGCAGGCGCGCCACCGCACCCCTTCCCGGCGCGGGTGGAGTAGGACCCAACTCCAGCGAGACGCCGCGCCCCGCCCACGCTGCCGCGCGCCCGCGGTCGCCCACCGCTGCCCGCCCCGCAAAGTGCAGAGCGCGTCCTCGGGGCGCCTCACCCTCCGGCAGCTCCACGGTGCGCGCGCGCCGCAGCGAGCGCGTCAGTCGGTTGAGCTGCTCCATCGCTCTCTCCATCCTCGGCGCGGCCTCCGCGAAGCCCCCGCCGCGCTCGCGGCCTCCGCGCCCCGCGCCCTACATCCCGACCCTGGCCGGGCCCGTGGGCGAAGGCGCGAGCTCGCGGCGGCCGGCGCTCGGGAACGCTAGGGTGCTACGCCGAGTCAGTCCGCCGCACCGACGGCAGCCAGCCAGACCGCGTCGGGGGTGGGCAGCGGCCGCCGCCTCCGCTCGCTCGCGGCTTTCCTTCCGCGGCCCCGCTTCCCTCCTGGGCTCGCGAGGCCTTCTGGGAACTGTAGTTCCGGGCTGGCTCGCCACACACCCCGGTGGAGCCCCGCCTCTAAGGTCGCTGACCTGCGATCTGGAAGATACAGGCAACTGCAGAACATAGAAAGACTTTCTGGGCTTTCTCAAGCCGCTGTCGTTCTTCCCTGCAAAGTTGTACAAGAGCTTTCTCCCTCAGTTCTAACACACCCCAATAAAGCAGATTAGAGAAGTACCTTATTTGTTTCGCTTGCTGAGTACATTTCTAAGAACAGAGACATGGCGCTATCCTATGCCTTGTTCTTAGCACAGGACATGACGACAACTTCAAACTCTGCAGAAGATGTGAATGGCAAAAAGGAAAAAAAAATGTTTATTTGGTAAAATGCAGTCTCAGTTTCTATGACAGGTCCCAATGAGAACTACGAAGACTTTGACTTCATGAGTATACCAAGTCATAGAAATGTTCAAGCAGGGCATGGTAACACATACAGGCAATTCCAGCACTCGGGAAGCAGAAGCAGATGGATCGCAAGTGTGAGGTTAGCCTGAAATGGAGGCGGTATGTTTTTTTGAGCCCACCACACGTAACCCAGGTTAGCCTTGATCTTGAGATATAGCTGAAATGGCAACATTCCTGCCTCCACCTGCCAGGCGCTAGGATCCCAGGTGCTCAACGCCAGGCCTGGCAGACACAAAACTTCAATTAAAAAAAAAAAAAATTAAGATGGCTTTAAAATGGAAAGATGGCTCTGCAGTGAAAGGCAGAGGCTACTCTTCCAGAGAGTCAAATTTGCTTCCCATATGGCCCCACACAGTCATCCAGTATACCCAGTTCCAGGGGATCTGATGCTCTGTTCTGGCCTCCTCCTCAGACACTACATGCGAAAGGTGCAGAGACGTACACGCAGGCAAGGGCATTAAAAAAAAAGAGGCTGGGAGAGCAGAAAGACAGGTCAGTGGTTAATAGCACGTACTGCTCTTCCAAGGTATGGTTCCCAGCATCTACTCCTGGCACCTCAAAAACTCATTCTAATCCAGTACCAGGAAATGCCCACGCCCCCACACAGATTTCTTAATCAGAACGGGGCTAAAGAGATGGCTCAGCAATTAAGAGCAGGTTGCTTTTCCAGTGCCTACCGTGCTTAGTCTAGTTCCAGGGAATCACATGATCTCTTCTGGCCTCTGAAGGTGCTGCGTGCATATTGTCCACTTAGAAGCAGGCAGAGCACTCACACATACAATAAAATTAATAAACAAAAAAATTCAAAGTGGCAAAATTTTGAGCATCTGAAGCTTGAGTCAGCCCAGTCTGTGCAGAACATAAGAACGGCTAAAATGGCAGAAGACGGAAACTCGAGGGGGAAGCCTTTCTCCTCTCTGTTACTTGGGACTTGGGGGCTGAAGCAAGCGTGACACAATGGAACCGATTTGTCACCTTTCTCTCAAAGAGGCCAGCCGTCCCTGCAAAGAGCTCATCTGTGTAAGCGCAAATCTTGCCTGCCCACCTCATATAGAAAGAAAAATTACTTCTCTGACTTCTGCTGAGCTCAAATGTAGGATGTAAAGAGGAAGAAGGTGACTGGCTTGGGTGTCCCTTCCAAAGGCACTTCTAAATCAGTTTCAACCTACAACTAATGTCACTCATGTGTGCTGCGCGCTGGAGGCAAACCTTCACCATCTCCACTTAACATGTTGGTTCAGGTGAGAGAAAACCTGTCTGTCAAGAAGTTTGGAAAACCCAAAGTTTCAAAAGAAGGACAAAGACAATAGGCCAACCAGGGTGGTGCTCAAACTTTTGAGCCTCAGCCTAAGTGAAATGCTCTGGCTCTGTTTGTCCTTCTTACATCACCTAAAATATCAGCTTCCTGTGGTGGGGTGACAGACCTGTATGCAGTAGATCATTAGCCTAGCACGCTGGCCTCAGTCCTCCTCATCACACACACACACACACACACACACACACACACACACACACACCAGAAGGAAAGGAGAGAAGGCTCAATAGGTAAGAGCCCTTGCAGAAGACCGGGATTCAGTTCCCAGCATCCACATGGTGGCTCACAATCATCTATAATTCTAATTCCAGGAGACCCAGCACACCATGGGGACCAGACACACAGGCAGTGTACATACATGCATACATGCAAGATAAATACATAGCATAAAAGTGATTTATAAATGAACAGATAGATTGATAAAAGGAAAGCATTTTTTGGTTCCAGGTGTGAGAGCATGGCCCCCGTATGAACAAAGAGGCTCAGGCCAGTCTGGGCACCACAGTGAAAGCTGTCTCAAAGAAAAGGGGTAAGTGGAAAGGATTTCACTGTTACATGAAAGTTAGTCCCTCAGCAATTATCAACAACAAGCTAACAATAGTTCCCTGGGTTTCTCGTAGATCACTTCCAAAGTCCTCTGAGCATTAGGCCCAGACCTAGAGTGTGTGAGTAGGGATAGACCCAAGCCAAGTTCACTGTAAGCAGTGTGCTCCAAATTGGTCGCTGTTTATTATAGCACTGAGTCATACAGGAAGAATCTTACAGAATTGTAGATTGGTAGTTCTAAATTCTACAATATAGCACAGTCTCCCAAATAGCTCTGTTTGGAGCATATGAACAGTATTGCAATAGGCATGTCTTTATCCAGTTGAAATTCCAAAACTGATAGGAAGGCTCCATAATCTGCACAGTTCAAAGCAGTAAATACTGCCTAATGAAGTTATTACATACTACATACATGTGTCTGGCACACTGAATTTTAAATCCATAATTAAATAAGAAATTTAAGACAATGAAGAAAGAAATTAAAGAAGATATCATAAGATCAAAAGACCTCCCAAGCTCATGGTTCAGTAAGATCAATGTAGTGAAAATGGCCATCCAGCCAAAATCAATCTACCTAGTCAATATAATCCCCCTTCAAAATTCCAACAAAATCACATAGAAACTGAAAAAATAATATTTAACTTCACATATTAACACAAAAGCACAAGAGTCCTAAAGCAATCCTTAATCATAAAAGAACTGATAGCAGTATGACCAGCTCCCATTTCGAGTTGTATTGCAGAGCTATAGTAATAAAAACATCATGGTGTTGACACAAAAACAGAAGTATTGACCAATGGAGTCAAACTGAAGATCCAGACATAAGTCCACAGAGCAATGGACAACTGACTTTTGTATAAATGTAGTTATATTTTATTTGCATTTTAATACAAATATTAATGGTCTGAAGGTCAGAGACCAAAGTTAAGCCACTAGAGGCTGGGAAAGAGGCATACACCTTTACTCCCAAGACTCAGGAGACAAAAGCTGATAGATCGCTGTGTCAAGATTACCCTGGGCTACACAAGAACAATCCAGAAACAAATCCAGGTGGTGGTGGCCCACACCTTTAATCCAAGTGTTTGGGAGTCATACACCTTTAGTCCCAAGACTAGGGAGGTGGATACAGGAGCGATATGGCTGGGCAGAGAGAGGAATATATAAAGGGGAAGAGACAGGAACTCACTGGAGTGTGGAGTCTGAGGATTCATGGAGGCAGGATCTTGCTCTTTCGTTCTGAAGATTTGGTAGAGGTAAAAGATCTCTCTAGTGATTGGCTGCTTTGCTTTTTTGTTCTTCAGCATGAACCCCAATAAATATATCTGAGTTTTTATTATTTTGCTACATCTGGTGTTTAATGCTTGGGGTACAAATTAAGAAAAAAAAAGCCACTTGCTTGTGGCTTTACAATCACGGACATAGGCTGGAGTTACATGCAGCCAGAGTAACTTTACATTTGCCATTACTTTCTCATAACGCTAAGCCTGAAGACTTCCAGTTTAGTGATACAAACCTTTGGTTCTTCCTTTCCTCCACTATTCACTGCTGGACTCACCAGTGAATATGTGCTAGCTCCTCTGTATCTTGTGGATTGTAAGCATGTATTCTAAGAGCCTTGGTCTGGAGCCCAGGGAAACTATTCTATATTCAGGAGGTAAATGTGCTGTCATCTGAGTACTGTTTTTACACACTCATATTGGTGCAGGTTTACATTAAATCACTTAATCACTGTGGTGGTTTGAGTGAGAATTTCCCCCACAGACTTAGATCATTTGATACTTGGTCCTAGTTGGCAGCGCTGTCTGAGGACGCTTAGGAGGAAGTTTGGTGTGGTCTTGGAGGAAATAGGTGACCAAGCATGGGCTTTCAGGTTTCAAAGCCATATTCATTCTCAGTTTGTTCTTTCTGCTTCCCTGCTTTCAGTTCAAGATGCAAGCCTTTAGCTTCCCTTTCCCACCACCTTAGACTCTCTACCATCATGGACTTTGACCCTCTGGAACTGTAAGGCCAAATAAACTCTTCCAGACCAGATATGGGGGCTCATGCCTTTAATTTCAGTAGTCAGAAACAGAGACAGGTGGATCTCTGTGAGGACAAGATCAGCCTGGTCTACATAGCAAATTTCAGGACAGCCTAAGCTACATAGTGAGACCCTGTCTCAAAACAAGATAGATAGATAGATAGATAGATAGATAGACAGATAATTATTCCTTCTGTAAGATCCTTCTATAATTGCCTTAGTTGTGTTTTATTGCATAAATAGAAAACTAATTAATATAGTCACTATTTCAGAAAGACCCATTGTATAAAAACAAGCAACCAAAGGTAGACGATATCAAGAGATTAAAGATAGAAATGGACAAATTCAACATTGCATTAAATGTTGTTTATTCCCGGGCAGTGGTGGCACACACCTTTAACCCCAGCACTTGGGAGGCAAAGGCTGTTGAATCTCTGTGAGTTCGAGGCCAGCCTTGTGTACAGAGTGAGTTCCAGAACAGTAAGGACTGTTTCACAGAGAAACCCTATCTCAAAAGCAAACAAATGAACAAGCAAACAAACCCACTTTTTTGGGGGGGAGGGGACTATTGGTGTCAGAATACCTAGGGTGGTAACAACAGAGGAGAATCCCAGGACCATAAGATAAGATGGTTGAACTACTAAAACAGAA